AGGAAAACACCAAGAATGAAAGAAATCACCAGAAAAATAAAGAATAGAGAATGCAAAGGAAGAAGAAAGAAAAGGTCTGAAGGAAACCATCAAGAGAGTGTGTGAGTGTCTTTTCCCCTAACCCTCTCAGATAAAAAAGTCATAGTACGCCGACTTTGTGGGTTTCCCTTTGAGCTGTGAGCTGCTTGGAGGCTGGTCCTCCAGGGAGTGATAAATGCACATAAGAATAAATATATATATTTTTTTTAATGTTGGGCAGTGGTGGTGCACACCTTTAATCCCAGCGTTTAAGAGGGAAGCAGAGGCAAGAGAATCTCTTGAGTTCAAAGTCATCCTGGTCTACAGAGCAAATTCCAGGGCAGTCAAGGCTACACAGAAACTCTGTCGGGTGGAGGGGTGGGGAGCGGGGGCGGGGAATCACTCACAAAATAGGAGAAATCTTGCAAAATAAAAGTGGGATCAGGCCGGGCAGTGGTGGTGCACGCCTTTAATTCAAGCACTCCCTCCGGAGGCAGAGCCAGGCGGATCTCTGTGAGTTCGAGGCCAGCCTGGTCTCCAAAGTTCCAGGAAAGGCGCAAAGCTACACAGAGAAACCCTGTCTCGAAACAAAACAAAACAAAAAAACAACAACAACAAGAACAAAATGGGATCAGGTCAAGACAAGCTTTGCCCCAAATTGCCCAATGTCTCCCACTGCTTTTAGAACAAATCCCAGTTTCTAGCATGGTCATTGGTGAGCCATTGCCCAAGTCTGGATTCTGGCCTCCATCTACCTCCCCAAAGTCCTGTCCCCAGTGGCCTTGGTGCTTCTGCAAAATACACATAGCCTGAAATGATTCCTCATCCTACAGGCCTGGGCCTAAGGGTCTCCAATTAAAGAGAGCGATATTCCCACACCCTATACACGACTTTCACCGGTTTGTAAATAAAATTTATTCCCGTGACTGGGTTTTCCCCATCTTCACCGCTGGTCAAAGGCTAAAGAAGCCGGAGACAGAAGCTTGTTCCTTGTTCTGCTCAGTGCCGGAAACAGCGCTTGGAGTAGAGTGCCACTGTACAAATATTTGCGGAATGAATGAATGAACACACGGAAGCAGGGGAAAGCAGGGGAAGGACTTCTTCCTGTGATGGTCCAGACTTTTAAGTCAAGCACTTGAGGAGGGGCTGGTGGTGGCAGAAGATTGAGGAATTCAGCGTCATCTTCATTCATCTACATACAGAGTTCGAAGTTGGCCCAAGCTACATGAGACTTTATCTCAGAAAAAAAAAAAAGGAATTCCTGAGGCTGAAATAATAATAATAATAATAATATTGTATATCATTATGCAATAATCTTTCCCCCCCCCCAGGTTATAGGATGGCGACACGCCCGCAGGATTTACCCCGCAGCCTCTCCCAAGGTTGCTAGGTTCCAGGCCCCCAGTAACTGGGGCAAAGGTCGACCCTAGCCACGGTGCTGTCTGTCTCTGAGGCCACGCCCCGCGGCGCGTTGCCAAGGCACCCAGAAGCGCGTGGGTGGACGTGTCCTACGGCAGAAAGGCCCAAACCTTGGCCGCCGGTAAGGGTCTGAGCCGAGCGATGGGGGCGACGCGAGAAGCATCTCGGACCTGGTCTCAGCCCGAGCTCTCAGCGGGGCCGCAGCGCACCTTGCACAACTCACTCCACTTCTTCTGGAGGAAGCCCGAGCTCCACCATGGAGCACGCACGCCGGACCCGCGGCGGGCAGCCAGGCGCAAGGGTCCCG